ACCAACTAATTGTATACCTGTTGGTGGATGTGGAAACACGTTGGTGTATGTTGTTGTTGCATCATTGAAGACCCTCATGTCATGCACTGAACCCGGCCAGCCAGCTAGGACGAATGTAAATCGCATGTCGAAGTCACACACAGCCAAGACATTCTGTGTTGTCATCCCCTTGCGGCATAGGTGCTGCACAAACTTATCGCTAGGCACCACACAGGGGACATGAGTCCCATCTATAGCCCCTATGCAGTCCTTGAAGTAGGGATAGAACCTAGGATTTCTTAGCCCGTCATGCATAGTGCTAAAATTTGGGTCATTAGGCCTAATGATGTCGACAGCAAGCTTGACAATAGACTTCAACACCCTGTGAAACATGCTATGAACAGTCCCCAGTGACCTCTCAAACCTATCCTCTGCTTGCCTAACAGATTGTGGAGCCCCCACCATCCACAGAAACATCTCCAGAGCCTCAATAGATGCTGATTTGCTACTAGATTTCAGCCCATATGATTCTACCAAACGATCATGCAGCCTAAGGAACATATCAAGGCTCATTCTGAACATGTTATAACAGGCCTTCCTATTTCCTAGTTTACTATGTACCCATTCGAAACCACTAATGGCTGGCTGTCTATACTCTGACCTTGACAAGTGCTTGTTAATGTGGTAGGCATACTGGTACATATCGTACAGGAAAGCATCGTCATCATCATCGGCCTCCATCCAGTCACTGATGAACTCTTGGAAATCATCCTCATAAGCAGCTTGCCTCGATGACATCAGTCCCGTGACTATTGATTGGACATCCTCCTGTCAAAATGGAAAACAGTTTCAATCAGTTTTCAACATCAACTAGGCAACATTAGCATGCATCCCTATTAGAACTGACTGATGCCAGTTACTCAAACTCATGCACTACATACATCAACAGATAACAGCCATATCCAATCATACTACAATGAAGCAGTTCAAGTGTTCGACATGACAAACTTAGTTCAATGACAAATGACACCCACCACACCTCACATAGTTGAAATGACATAACAAATTAACTACGTAGATAGCTTAAGAAAATAAGGTCTAGGGGAGGACCCCGATATATTGCTTAATCATCAGCATCCTTCCTTGGGGCGAGGAGCTTATGAAGAAGTTCATCACAGGCTCACTCTGCACGATCTTGCGCACGGCCATCCACTCAGCTGGGGTCTCTTCAGTTGCCCCACACTGTCTTGCCAGCTATAGCACTAGTTCAACCTTCCTCTCCAACGCCTTGCTCTGGTCCTCAATTTTTTGGTTCCTCTCTTGCCACATGGCTGTCATCCTCTCAAGCCTCTGCCTTGAAATTTCATTGTGTTCCTTCATGTGACCATCCATGGTCCTGATAGCGGGGCTCTTGGTCCTCTTGCTCGGGCTAGAGGCAGTTGTGCTGGTGTTGCTTGCCCTCTTAGTGCCGACACTAAGTGGTGTCAGTTGGTCGTCTTGCTCATCATTGGAGTCGTCATCTGAACTGTCCACGTCAACTGTGTTGCTTTGTGCAGGACAGAACGAAGTTGAGCCATCAACCGCGTTGCCGGCGAACATCCGGTCCAAATCATCCAAGTACGGAGGCCAGCCGTCCTTGAGCTTCTTCCACTCAGGGTGTCCCTGGAAAACCGGGTCAGTTCAATCATGGAATATTAACATATTAACATTACATGATTGAGCATAAGTTTGGTTACATACCACCGTACGAGATTGCCACCAAACCATCAGTAGCAAGGATGGATCCACCCTCTCTCCTGCCTAAGCCAGAGGCTTTGCGGAGGTCGTTTATAAAATGCCACAAATGCCTGAGCTGCCGTAACTTACTTTTGAACCGGTCCTTGTCATGAACCAAGTTTGTTGCTGCATTATACCTTGCAATCAGATCTCTCCACCCCGACTTGTTCATACAACCGCGGACACAGTTGCCACTATCAATTTGGTGGCACCAGATTTGGCAAAACGTGCTTATGTTGGGCTCCGACCAGTATCCCCTGTCGTTCCTAGCCTAAACGATTTGATAAAACATGATTTCACACCCATAAACAAGATAGAAGATGGGGCGAAAAGAAAATGATTGGAACACAACTGTATACATGAGCAATGCAAGATTACGATATGGGTGAGGACAACTACCGGGATGTGACCCACGGGGGTACCATGAATCGGGTGCACGATGTCGTCGTCCACGTCTGGGACAGCTCCGCGACGCCGGCGCCAGCGTCCCCTTTCTCCGGCAGAGAAGACTGATGCAGAGGCGCGGCCATGATGGACGCGCGGCACGCGGTCGCCTCCGACAGCTTCTGATGTGGCGTGCCCTCCTGTGCCGTCACCTCCTTCTCCAAAGCCGGCGCTGCGAGGCTGCTGGAAGTTGAGGTTTCGCCGCCGAGGAACACAGACGGGAGGCGGACCCATCTGGCTACCACCAGGGTCGTAGCGGTCCATGCCAGCCCATCCCGCGCCGTCGTTGAGGTCCAGGGACTCCAGCCCCCTGCGGGGAGGGTTCACGTCGCTGGACCCCGTGTACGGTGGAGGCGGGTCGGTGAAGCCCTCGTACAACGACGACCCGAAAAGCGGGTTCGCCGCCGCCAGGAAGTCCCGCGTGCCGTCGTTGTTGCCGGAGCCGCCGTCGAAGTTTGCGTGGCCTTCGCCGTTGAAGCCGTCATCATCGTAGCCGTCCATCTACGTAGCCGCGGCCTTCCAGGGACTAGATCCGGGCACGAAACGCGTTGATCTACCTGCCGGGCTAGCTGAGACGGTGAGCGGCGGGGCCACCGAGGGGAGAGGCGTGCGGGGGGCAGCGGGGCTAGGGTTCACGAATGGAGGACTGCTGCCTGCGGACGCAGTGGGGGACGTGGTTATTGCGGCGGCCGTTGGGCCTCACGCTGCAAAATGTACACGGGCCGCTTTTCACCGCCCGTTTAGTTCCAAAATCCGAAATGTGGCCCATTTCCGAATTTCGTTCGCCAACTAAACACGGGCTAAGCCACAAAGTTTGATGCGTCCAGCTAGCTAGCTTAGCTGTACAGTAGCGTACGAGTAGGCAGGCACGAATTCAACCCTTGTCTGTTGTTTGCTCGTGCCATTTCTCATGACTTGTCTTGTGCAGCCAGCCCGGCAAAGCCCCGTCCTGCTTCTGAAACTGCATGGGTTTTCTTTCGGATCGACTCTGAAATGCATTTTCACCTCTTTCACAGTCCCGGCTCTCGAGAGCTCTGCAGGCGATACTCCTGCTTCGTACAGTATTTGGATGCACAGTCACCTCGGCGTAGATATTGGCGTCGCGTCAGGATCTACGGCGCCGAGCTGCCTGTCATGTCACCGCCACGTCTGCGTCGAGCCCAAGACCTCGGCGCCAGCAACGATGACGTCGAGACGTGTCAGCTCGGCGCCAGCAACGATAACGCCAAGCTAAAGGTCCAGATTTTAAAATCTTACCTCCAGGGACAAGGGCATATTTATGAAAAATTCTCAAAAAAGGGCTTAAAAAATAAAATATTCGATGGTGGCAAATACAGTAGTACTAAGATGGCATTAGTGGCCGGCCGTCCGGATAGGAAATGGAACGGAGGCTGCTGACTAGTTGGGCCTCTGCTTGTCATGGTTTGACTTTGACTCGTTGACGCGTGTGTGGCCTCCGTTCTACCACCTCCGGTTCTTGCCAGCTGCACGAATAGTCTTCACTGCTGTTTTTTTTCCAGAAGTGGCGGCTTCAACAAACACCGACTGGTTCTGTCATTTGCACGCAGAAACAGCTTGAACGATCGCGACAGGGCCACATTTCACTTCACCTGAGTAACAACGCTGGCAGACGCCGCGAGATGAACGCTGCAGGTGCCGCTAATAAGGGGCTGTTTAGATGTCGAAATTTTTGGCAAAATGCTACTGTAACATTTTTGTTGTTATTTAACAATTAGTGTTCAATCATAGTCTAATTAGGCTTAAAAGATTTGTCTCGTGGATTTTGTCTAAACTGTGTAATTATTTTTATTTTTTATTTATATTTAATGCTTCATGCATGCGTCCAAAAATTCTAACAAAATAGGAGGGAACTAAACTGGGCCTAAGAACAAACGTGCAGCTGAGCTCGGAAACTGCTTCACGTTTCATCGTCTCTGCGCTGCCGTTACGCCATGGTAGCCGGGTAGAAAAGGGGCCAAGTATCTGCCAAGAACAAACGGTCTGTTCGCTGGTTGGTTTTTAGGCTGATAAGCGAGGGTAATGCTGAGCGCATGTTTAGTTAGACCTTAAATTTTAAAAAGTTGCTACAGTACATGTCACATCGAATGTTTGTGGCCTATGCATGGAGCATTAAATGTAGACGAAAAAAAAACTAATTGCACAGTTTGGTGGAAAATTACGAGACGAACGTTTTGAGCCTAATTAGTTCATGTTTGAACACTATTTGTCAAATAAAAACGAATATGCTACAGTAGCCCCCAAATCCAACTTTGGGGAACTAAACACGCGCTGATTTATTATGAGAGAAAAACACTGTTGGCTGATTGATAAGCTCTACCTGAAACCGAATAGGCTGAAGAAGTGAGGCAGTGGCGACGTGCTTCAGCATGAGCCCACACAAAGGCCCCGTTCACTGATCTGAAACTTGGCTGAAACTGACTGGTTGTTGTGAGAAAAAAACACTGTTTGACTAGTTTAATGAATAGTAAATTGTGAGGGGAGCAGCCGGCTGGCTGCTCTTTCCAGACCGGCTAACGGCCCCAGAGGTCGACGCGGTTCACACCGATTTCACAACGTGCAGATGCCGACCTGGGTTGGCGTCGACCAGCTGAGTATCGCTCGGTTTGACTCGGCCCTCGTTTCATTTGGACGATCGCGACAGGTGAGACGACCTGATCGGATGCATGCTTCTCTCCAAAGTCCAATCCTACTATATAAAAGTCAAGCCCCAGCCCACCATGAAACTCACTCACCAGAGCCCCAGAGGCAGGCATCAGTATCACACACAGACGCAACCAGCCATGGCACAGAAGCTCGTCGCGCCACCGACGGCGCTCGTCGCCGCCGTCCTGGCGCTCGTCCTGTGGGCCGCCACGGCGGCCGCGCAGAACTGCGGGTGCGCGTCGGACCAGTGCTGCAGCAAGTACGGGTACTGCGGGACGGGCAAGGACTACTGCGGCGCCGACACGTGCCAGTCGGGCCCCTGCGACGTGCCGGCGACCAACAACGTGTCCGTGGCCAGCATCGTGACGCCGGCCTTCTTCGACGCGCTCCTCGCGCAGGCCGCCGCCTCGTGCGAGGCCAACGGGTTCTACACCCGCGACGCCTTCCTCGCCGCCGCCGGCTACTACCCGTCGTTCGGCCGCACCGGCACCGTCGACGACTCCAAGCGCGAGATCGCTGCCTTCTTCGGCAACGCCAACCACGAGACCATAAGTACGTATCACAAAACCCAAGCTCGTTTTTCATTTCTCATTCAAGCTACAGATATTCTAAAATTCAATCGTTCCATCAACCACCAACCGTGTAGAGTTCTGCTACATCAACGAGATCGACGGGCCGAGCAAGAACTACTGCGACCCGAACAACACGCAGTGGCCGTGCCAGGCGGGGAAAGGGTACTACGGGCGTGGCCCCCTGCAGATCTCGTGGAACTACAACTACGGGCCCGCAGGGCAGAGCATCGGCTTCGACGGGCTGGGCGACCCCGACGCGGTGGCGCGCAGCGCCGTCGTCGCGTTCCGGTCGGCGCTCTGGTACTGGATGAACAACGTGCACGGGGTGGTCGTCTCCGGGCAGGGCTTCGGCGCCACCATCCGGGCCATCAACGGCGCGCTCGAGTGCGACGGCAAGAACCCGAACTCCGTCAACAACCGCGTCGCCTACTACAAGCAGTTCTGCCAGGATTTCGGCGTCGACCCGGGCAGCAACCTCACATGCTGACTCTAGTACTCATGCGTGGATGGATAGATGGCTATTGCGTGGTGTGGATGTTTCGGTTTGGTAGTGTGAATTGTGATATGTGTGTGGGGAGCGGCGAGACATCAACAAGCTAGGCTAGGGCTGTGATGTTGTGATTCAGAGACTACGCGGAAATAAAAACTGATTTGCATGAGCTTCTGTTTAAGCATTCAGCTTGTATTTGTCGAGCTAAGTCATCAGATACAAAGGAGTGCCTAATCAATGTTGAAAAAATTAGGAAATGTCTAGTCAATGACCGGTTATTTTAGTCCCTCCCATTAACCAAAATTTTCTCACACTTACACTGTCTTATAGCTATATTTACACTGTCTTATTATTATATTTATAACCATTTTTCAGTGTAATTTATTGGAAAGAGTGATGTAATTTGGGAATAACACAAATATATGCCAAATTTTTCAAAAAGATTTACAAATTATTTTTATGAATTCCAGACATCAGAGAAATATATATCAAATTATTCACAAATTCTTTAGAAATTAAAAACATAAAATCCACACAAGGAGGTGAGAGAGGAGAGATTGTCGTAGGGTGTTCTGTGCTCGCGTTCGTGTGTCAGGCAGGGACACAGACACCGGCATGATTGCTTGCTTGACACTGAAGCCGAGCGGACACACGCACAGGGACGCATCGCACGCACCCACGCGCCAGCGTGATCGCAGGCGGGGGGAGGCCGACGCTTCCGCATCGCACGGCCAAAAAAACGGTTGATAACAACCGGCAAATCAACCGGTTGATCATTAGCCTTTCTGAAAAATTATTGGAATGCATTTGTAGAGGCGGCTAGAAACAACCGCCGCCTCTACACATGCATTTTCAGATGCGGCTTGGTTTGGAGGCCACGATAGAGACGGCTCAATTTTCAATTGCCTCTATAATAAAAAGCCTCCCTGTTGTTACAAATTGATTTGTTACAAATTGATTTTATAGTATTGATACCTAATTGATTCGATAGCAGCAGCATAGCGGTAGAAATTATCTAGAATGTACTTGATGTGCCCTAGGCTGCTCTCTGAGCTAAGCTGCTACCTAGAGACTACCTGCCTACCTAGAGTTCCGGATAGGCGGAGTCACAGAGCCTCTCAAGCTAAGACGAGTGGGGCAGCTCTGTCCACCAGGGAAGATCCGGAAGAAAAATTGACTAGAGGCATACTAATGATGATAATCAAATTAACCTCACATTTTTTGCTATGTGAGGATCTTATCATCCACTTGTGCGGGGCATCAATGGTTAAAAATAGTCTAGAACCCTTAATAACAATTTTTGAGTGACGACCTATGTCCTCACTCGGTACTATGTGTGGTAGAACCGTCCGAAATAACACATTTACGGAGGCGCTTGTCTTCCACTAAACACTAAGCACTCCGAAGTTGAGCTACGTTAGTCATTTCTGTCGGGCACACCCCATGGGAGAACCCGAAAATCCATATTTTTCAACAGGATTATAAATGGGAGAATAAAGCTTACAAAATTTTAGCCATTTCTTACATCACTTTTCATGCAACATCAGAGTATAATATTTATTGTTTATAACAGCGGAATATAACAATGTTATCAGAGTTTCAACGGAAATAAAATCATTTAATGACAAGTCAAACATTAACACGATGATCCGTTATATACATCATAATATGTTATAAGTTTTTCCATCGTAAAACACTTTGGGCGGTAATTTCAAATAAACTCTATGTCCGCTACGTTAAGAAAATTCTCGCTGAGCCTACCAGAAGATTTTCACACACAAGTGTCAGCTCCACATGTTCCTGTCACCTGCAACAGGGGAGAACAAATCCTGAGTACTTAATTGTACTCCGTAAGACTTACCCGTCAGAAGGAAAGAAAAGACTCCAAAGATATGTAAGGCTATCTGGCTTGTGGGTTATTGCATCTGCAGGAAGCATTACTAAGAGTACATCCTTATATTTAATTTTATTAGCAGTCATCATTAGTTCATTAACTAACCATTCTATATAAGCACCTATGCTACTTTCAAGCAGGTGGTAAGCAATCAGAACCATTTTATCATCTTTCATATTTTAGTTCTTACTACGACGCTAGATCGTAGACAAGTCGTACCGTATTACACGACGATTCGCGAACCAATGTATCACAGCTGGTACCCCGAAACACACGCCCCACTTGTACCCCAGGACAAGCAGGGCCAACCCACCACTCTCCTGTCAAGGGGTCCAGGTCCCCGTACAAACTTGGACTCTAAGCCCCCACACCTGAGTCCCGGACTCAGTGTAGTGCTTAGACCTCCACCATCCCCGCCTCCAATTAGCCAGTTCAGAAAGAGCCGAAACCCACAACAAGAGAGCAACGAACTTTTCCGCTCCCATAAGCAAGTATGTGCTCAGGATAATAAGTCTGTGACCTGACTAGAATCCAATGCAATGGACGGTCCTTAATCGACACAGGCGAAACAAATGCAATCCGAGCCTCGCTCGAATGCCTAACCAAGTCCAGATCCAAAGTACCATTCCGTCCGGTCTTCAATTATCATTCATATATATTCTATGTGATAGTAATATAATGACAACAATAATATCTTTCCTATCTCTCGCGAGTGACAGGCAATCACTTGACTTCTACCGGAGTCCTGTGGTATAGCAATCTACACGATCCTGTCATACTAGTAAAACTCATAGGATAAGGATATATATATATATATATATATATATGCAAGTGGGTTTCATCCAACTTCTTAAACTTAATAAACAAGCATAAAATAAAGTGCAGAATAATAGGGGTTATGCACCGGGGCTTGCCTGGGTAAGATATAACCAAAAGTTAGCATTCCATCATGGTGACATGATCATCAAGGCACCATCTTTTCCGCTACTTCGGTCATCTCCACGATCCATCGTTGTTCCTATTATGATATACGTGGATGCAATACAGAGACGCAATTAATCAATGGTAACTGCAACTCTATAATACGATTACGCTCCGCGAGCTAACGAGCTAGCTTAATGACTAACATACTAGTCTACGTATCCACGTCGTCAAGTGTCGGGTTCATAAACCCGGGGTCCCTCATGGACCTGCTTCCTAGCAAAAGATCGGTCTAGCAGACGATGTTGCGAACGACGTGCAACTCCTAGGCCGGCCTAAATACCTAACGACAGGCTAGAAGGACGATCCAATCTCCGACCGGAAGGCCTGGCCAGGAGGAACGGCGCCCGCTTCCGACTCTGGCCCGCCTCTTTGATCGGAAGGCCTCGCTTTCGACTCCAGCCCGCCTCTATGACCGGAAGGCCTAGCCAAGGAGGAACAACACTCGCTTCCGACTCTAGCCCGCCTCTGCGACCGGAAGGCCTGGCCAAGGAGGAACGTCTCTCGCTTCCGACTCTGACCCGCTTCTCCGACCGGAATGCCTGGCCAACGCTGCTTCCGACTCTGACCCGCGTCTCCAACCTAGGATGCGTCGAACCTCTGCTTATAGCTCTTCTCCGACTGACGCAGTCGAAGCCAACTAGGACCAACCGACCGGGACGCCCGCTCGGTGAGGACCTAGGAAACGGATGGAGCAAGTAAGGCAGGACGCTCATGTCAACCACAAAATCAAGGACCATACCCTGTACACCTGCAGGACAGTACCGACAGGACATGTCAAAAGAGTGCCCTGCAACCTTCCAGGCATGTCAGAACCCAAGCAGTGTTGTGGGCGCCAACATTTTGCCCTACAGTGTTATGGGCGCCATCAATTCCCATATCAAGCGAACACGGTAAAACCCCCACATGCCTCTGGGCATCAACAGTGTTGTGGGCGCCGTCATTTGCCATACATGGTGAATGCGGTAAAACCTCCCACATGTGTCTGGCATGAACAATATTGTGGGCGCCTACCATCATCTTGTACCCGACGACGTGGGCAACAAGATTTAGAAGCGTACGTACTCTCTCTCTCTCTCTCTCTCTCTCTCTCTCTCTCGCTTGTAAGGCCATCCCCTTCATCTATAAAAGGGGATGCGCTCTCTCCCAATAAGGAGGATCAAGACAGGGGAACTTGAACACACTCCGACGACTCAACTCGGAGGACTCGAACGGTTCAAACAACCAACGATCAATTCACCCTCTGCTAGCTTTAGACACTCTAAAGCTACACAGAGCGCACGCTCGAATACTTAGCGCATGTGAGAGCTCCCGTCACTCTCGGCTATTTAGTCCGAAGTCCGACCGGACCTCTTGCACCCCTCATCTTTCTCCCTCTCGTTTGTAACCCCACAGCAAACTTCGAGCTCTTAGACTCAGGAATAAAGTCACCGACCGACTCAAACTGGACGTAGGGCACATTGTCTGAACCAGTATAAACCCTATGTCATTGAGTGCTAGGCCACATCCGATCACAATGTACGGCAAAACTATAAATATTTACGTGTTGGTCACTTTCTGCAGCGACAGTTGGCGCTGTCCGTGGGGAGGACGCCGTACGTTCACGCTTTTTGGTCATCGGATGACCCACCTTTCCACCATCTTTGCCATGATGGGCTCAAGCGATATGAATCGCTTTGGCTCACTGGAGTTTCCCGCACTCCACCCTGTTGGGATGTGGGTTCCACCCGTCTTCGAGCCATCCTAGGCCTTCCTCTTCGAAAGCCTGGACTTCGTCGCCAACTGGCTCGGCGTACTACACCTCTGCGAGGAGGCACTTATTCCTGCGCCCGTCGGAGGAGCACCCTCCGTTAGCTCCGAGACTCTCGGTAACTTCAACGACGAGGCTCCTGCGCTTTGCTCCGAGCCCACGCAGGGCTCAAACCCAACTGTGAGTAACGTACGCTTTGTTATTTACTCGCTATTTACTGTCTTTCGCCGATTCTCCGGAGGGACCTGTAACTCCTCTGGTGTTACGAGCTTGCTTAGCACCAAGGTTTAGACCTAAGAGGATTTACCGAAACAATTTTCTCAAATTTTAAAAATTTAACTTATGTTTAAAAATGTCCGATAACGATTCTAG